AAAGTCGTCAGGTTTTTTTTTTCAAGCTCTATTCACTGAATATCTGTTCAGTTGTTCGATAATGATTGTGTGCCCAAAAAAATTGCAATTTATGAGATCACATCAAATGGTTTGCTCATTTTATTGCTGCGCATTTTCTGAAATGATGCCTCCCTGCACATCTCGGGTGATTGCCGAATGCTGCATTAACTCGGTGACTACTGTTCTCGTCTTCACCATTTGTGTGTGCTGTGCACATTTGAGTGAATAAATTATTGCTAGTAGTTCAAGTGCACTACCTCATGCCCACATTGCTGACAATTTTAATGATAAAATCATTCGAAGATAGATATTTTTCATGATTTTCGCGACACTGCTATTGATGTGTATTGTTTGAGCTTCACTCATCGAATATGGATGAAAGAAACGTTGTTCTTAAGAGATTGTTAGTTACTATGAGGGCGCTACAAACAACAATACCTTTGTGAGCCATTTATCGCGTGCGATAAATCAGTTTTGAGCATTGCAATAGCTGTAATACGATCACTTTTTCTTGTTAGTTAAGTCTGCTGTCTGTCTGTACGATGCGCAATGCAGGAGTTTCTATTCGTAACGTCAGTTGTTAATTCCTCCGACACATCGTTCAGATTAGCCACATTACTCATACACTACAATCTAAATCCTCTAAAAATCCCCGTCATCGAACTTATCTCAACAATTTTTCGTTCCATGGATATCAGTCCTGCACTTCACTACTCAGTGTTCCAATCATGTTCAAACTGTGCAATAAAACGTATGAAATCGATTGCTCATTTTTTAATGAGTATTATGAGAAGTTGTCAAATTCTGCGCTATCTACAGCTGGGAGTTGCGATCGCGTCAAATTCAAATATGTGTTTTAGTATTCATTGGGAACCTGCTGGATTGCTGTTTGTCATTGGGTGGAGGGTGATTACACGCTTTTGTTGAAGACTTTGCTCGGAACGCAATGATTGCATTGCTACTCCAAATGTGTCTCTTGTGGAGGACAACAAGTTCAATTTCTTGCAAAAACTGTCAACAAATTGAAGATTCAACATTAAGGTAGGTTAAGTTTCTTTAAATGGAGAGAGAGTAAATAGAGAGTTACGCATGTTTATGATCTGAGAGGTGATCATACCTACCACGATCGTGCTACTTCAGTTCTCGATTAGACGGGATTCAAAAATGACAGCATAATTGATCAAACGTGAATGGAGACTATGAGAGATTTTTCCGAATGTGAATGATTTCTTGAAAAATTCGCTCAGCTTACATTTCACAGATTAAAATTCGACCCCTTTTCAAAAACCCAAAAAAATCCCAAGCATACAGAACAAAGAATTGATCCGATTTGGATTTCAGCTGTAGTGATGATTGCGATGGTGAGATATGTTTGTTGTGGAAATGGAACGATAAAACATCGTTTGAGGGGCGACATTCTGAGCAAGTCCAACAGGTGATTTCAAGCAGATTCTAGTTTTCAGAAACTGAAGATCGTCATTAATCCACTTAAGAAAGTATCTAAGTGGGTTTTTGTCATCCTATTGCACTTAATAATGCAAAGGTCGAAACGAATTTTCCGTTCACTGAACACAGCCTACCATTTAATCTCATTCAAATATCCATCCATGCCTGATGCTGAATAATTCACGACCGTACTGAACAAGTACACATGGGAATGCAATGCATAATCGTTTTGAAACATTAACTGCCATTATTCAGGGATGCATATCCGGTGTAGACACATCAGTGTATAAAATGGGTTGTCGAAGGAATTTCGTCGATGCCATTCTATGCCTATGCAAGTAAACGTAAATTCATTATTGACCACTCTCGTAAAAAAATGTAATTTGGAGCGCAGTTATTTCCGATTCGGCTTCAAATCACACGGTCGATGAAGGAAAGCGATTTTCCGATCAAATAGCGACACAAATAAATTCACTTAAAGTTTGCATTGAATATTAAAATAATTTAGCCTTCCGACTATATTAAATTATTATAAAACGTGAACATTATAAACTCTAATGACCAACAAACCATCGAACAATGTTTTCGTCTTTTTTCGCTTTCAGCGATCACGATCATTGTAACAATCGAGTCGACGAAGCGAGTTTATCGCAAATGCAACAAATTCAGTTGCCAAATATACAATGTAGAAATTATGCTGAAGCGCCTTACATAACCACCTATTCGAAGGAGAACCTTTGCACGGCTAACTACTGCTTTTACGCTGAAACGGAAGTATGCTTTAGCAAGAAGCATTTTATTCTTTCAAGGAACTTTCAAATCGCATATCATACATCACCTATGGAAGGGCGGTTATTATTTCGTTTGCAAATAATGCAAAGAACTCGTGCTGTTTTGTTGCGAAATTACTGGTGTGAAGAGCAGTGATCCTCGCAAGCACTTCTTCAATCATTATACTTCCTGGCGAGCGATTCGAATTCGTGAATTACATTTTCAGGTTGCAAATTTTATTGGTGAACGTGAAGTGTTAACGATGGCCAACTGTGGTCAACTTCCACAGTATGTGTTCGATTTGACAATCTCATCAATATGGCCCGGTCCTGCACTTCACACTGGCGGATGCTATCTGCTGCAGATACAAGGCGAGAATCTGAATCTTGGTTGCATTTGTGCCGAAGTGAGCTTTCTTTGTTCTGCTTGCAATCCAATTACTGTAAGATATCCACCGTGCTCAGAAACCTTTTATCCACGATAATCTCATGCTCTCTAATCTTCATATTGTTCATCGACAGAAAATATTCCAAGAAATTTTTTCTCTTCATTGAGTTCCGACTATGCCAAAACGTGGATTGGTTAGCTTGGAGAACCATAGTTCCAGACTACTGTGATTCATCAGCATTAGGGTACAAAAGCTGACTTAGAAGTGGCTGAAACTATCCCATTGATCTATCGATCTACAGCTACCTGTAAATCGTCGTTTTAGGACTCGTGTAATGCGGTAGCTCCGTACCCGGTTCAAAAAGGTACCGTTAAATGTCATCTTGCTTACGGAGCATCGGACGAGAAAGCAGTTGAGAACGAGACTTGTAATGGTGACTATTGCCTACTTCAAAAGACGGATCATCCCACTTTTGGAGTGCAATATTTGAAAGGATGTCTGAGTGTTAATGATACAATGGCACCAAGCAAAATAACAGTGAGTTTCGATAATCAGTCAAAACGTTTCGATGCTCTACTAGAGCAATGCTATATCGAAGTAGCATTCATTCAATTCATTTCCTTTGAAAAAATAAAGTTCATAAAAAATTTTGGTACAACGACTCTTTCCACCATAATATCAGGTATACATCTCCAGTTTCTCAGCGAGACTGATTGCGATTTAATTCAGTCATTAGCTTCTATGTTTGAATGAGTGCTTTAGGTGGGACATCGTAACATTCTTGGTTTGGATCACTGGCTGTGTAACGATGATCTCTGCAATGCAGATTTGAAAACGGTCACAACTTCCATCAAGAATCCTCCCTCTACTCCTCTCCAAGCATTCACTTCATCATCAAAAAACTCGTTATGCCTACAATCCGAACGTATTGCTTCAATAATTTTTGTCATTCTTATTCTAAGGATCGTGATAGTTGCAGAGTAAAATTTTGACATGTATCAGTATCGATCACATCGTAGTCATTCCGAATGGACTTTATGTATCGTTCCATGTGCACATGTATCACTGTTGTCACAAGTAAATATTTTGCGACAAATGAAGGATAAGTTTGGAGCATTCGTGTTTAAATCCTTCGATTGATCAATACGTGAAAGTAAACGATGCAAGATCCCAACTGAAACATCGGTTCTTTGTGATGATTTCGGCATGTGTCATTTTGAGAACATTTGAACAAAACTGGTAACGGAGTAATTGCGATAACAGTCAGGGCCGTATCAAATACATCATAACCGGTAATGCCTCCTCCCTCTTCCTAATTCAACCCGTCTGATCAAGTCGGAATGACCGGCAACATGCATTCATAACCTAATCTACTAATATTATGACTTCAGCTGCTCACTTCTTGAGTTTCCATGTGTTTACGTCCTATTCCATTTTGACGTTGTTTTTTCTTCACCCACAGATTGCGAATGCACGTATCACAATGTTCAAGTTTTCCGTTTGAATGTAATAAAGTTGGCATGTGAATTAACTGCCCCCATCCAACAGCAGTTGAAGAAAGCGATTAGTGTATCGTACTGGATGATATTTTTTATAGCAATTATTACCGGTACCGGCATATTTATCATAATTCATCGCGAATTACATGCACTCCATACAAATAGCACCATGAAAACAGAATACTCAACAATTTTACACAGATAATATTTAAAAGCGATAAAAGACACCATTCTTATACGGTGTCTTCACACCAATTGGAGGTATCAATTTCAAAGGAACGAGTCGTTTGCGAAAAGTAATTATAACCACATCAGCAAGTAAAACCATTCCGAGTAATATCGCCATTGGTACTGAATAGCCAATCTTCTCGAAAAGTAACCTGAAATGAATCGTGTTTCATATTTATCTCGATACGACTTTATGAGGTTCGTATAATTTTGACAATAGTTTTGCTTACGTTGAAACAATCGGACCCAAGAAACGTCCTATGCTTCCAAACAGAGCGAACAGACCTTGCATGAAGCCCTGAAAAGGGTTATACTAATACCACAAAATATCTTTTCTGTCTAGGGATTACAATCTGAACATACTAACAATAAGATAGTGGTTCTCACGTTCGGGTGCTCCATTACCCCTTTTGATGAGCTGGCAGGCCGCCGTTGCCCCCCCCCCCCCTCCTATTGAATATGGAATTCGCACATGTTATGTTCAGATGACCATTACGTTCAATCTTATTAGCACGTTCATGATGGTAATCGACATCGCTGGGCCTTCATTTAGACCGTTGCGCTGCCCGTTATTGCAATCGATTATGACTGCATG